GCAAACCTTCTAAACAATAATGATAACAAAAACTCCCTCATCTAATATGTCGATTAATTTCGATATATCTTTTGCTTTGAATCAGTTTACTTCATGAAAAAAATAACTTGATTCTTTTACCTTCAAAGACATTTTTCTTTACTTCAAAAACACCATTTTGGGAGATTGATTGCTTCCTAGCTCGCGTAACAAGATGGCAGCGTTGATGTAGAATAGTGAATCGACAGCAAATATTTATTGATCTGAGGTTTACTTGTCGCAATGTTTTATTTTGGATTCCAACGCTTATGTGCCCTCTGTTCGTCGCCTCCATTTTATTTAAAATGCTACGACATGAACTAGAATATTTGTTGTTTCCTTATAAAGGAATGTCAAATCATATCAAATGCTACATGAAAGAGTATGTTGGTATCCTCTGTAGTCACATCTATACAATATCATGTTGATTAAATAAATACTATCAATATATTTTCGATGTTGCAGTGTACTCCTCGGGTACACGTTTTTGATAATTTCTAATACATTACTAACTAAACATGTTTTTTGTTTTGTTCTACATAATGGTACTGTTGTATAAGCGGTATTTAGTGGATTATATTGTGGAAGTCCTTTAAAACCACCAATCCTAGTCTGCCATGTATAATGTTGATAACTTTATAATATATATGATAACTCTCATTTTATTATTTGGATGAACTAGTACTCCAAGAACCATTCATCCTTATGTTCATGTGGTTCTTCATTTACCTGCTTTAGTTTATAGTGTTTTAACAATAAAAGTGTGCAAGTTAATTTATTTATATCAAAGATATACATACATCCGTATGTACCTCAAGATATCATTTCAGATTCCATATTAAAACATAAACATGCTGGCAACATAAACATGACGTATATCAGCAAATAAATTAAGATAACATGTATACACTTTACAAGGAAAACAAACCCTCATTGAAAACATTGAAATTCGACAGAAATCCAGTCATTTGCCTTTCTCTTCTTCAATAACATGTCTATAGTCACTTCATTATCAGCGGTTCCTAAATTCTACCTAATTTCAGCACAGACATCGCACATCAAGAAAATGGTAGTCAATAGCTGCAATACTTTTGCTAAACGGTGTTTATTTCGACTGTTGCATCAGATCAAAGATATCACTAGTATCACCAAACATTAACAATCAAAATATGTTGTTGCAAAGTATTAGAAATGTCGGCCCTACTAGACATCCTGTGTATCCAGTGTACATTAGTTTTTTTTCAAACCAATTGGTGAACTGATTATATACCAAGCATGCTTCATCGGTACTGGACACAACATCGAAATATTTGTTTAAAAGTATTGCTTTTTAAAATGATCTAATCCTGTGCCCTGTAAAGTGAATTTGCATCGTTTAATATTTATAGATTGTCCACTTATCAACAGTCTTTTTTATAGTTTCTTTCATGGCATGGACATCATAATCATTATTTGGCATTTTAGCATTATTATGAGATATGTAGTAATGTTTTTATGCACTTTGGTTTTATTATTAAAGAGAAAAGACAGTCTTAAAATTTCTTCCGTCATTCCAATTCTGATTTTGTTGAAACTGTGTTGTTCTTTCCTTTGTATAATAATGATTATATTTTGTATACAGAGGATTTGAAAATTTCATTTGACGATTTTTTATATATATAGCTCTCTGTTAATGTACATTGTAAGTTTTTCTTGATCTGTGTTTGTTATAACTTATAGACTATGACATTTCATGCTGGATAAATAATTTGCCTGTTAATTTTAAGAAATCAATACCAGGTGTTTATTTAGAAAAGAGTAAACTAAAATCCATAGACTGCTGTCGTTGTTGTCAGGATGGTTGCTACGACCATGCATAGAACAATAAAAAATTAATTTTTAAATATTAAATCCAAGTACTGATTAATGATGCTTTATACTGAATGCACTATTTTATCGTTTATTTTTAATACAACAAAAATTCAACATTCATGATGTGATAACAACATCGGGTATACAATTTATATATAAATTGTTCACCAGTATGGGTGATATGTCAACAAAATCAGCGGGCTTTAAGGTACCCTTCAAAACTGTCAAAATTGCTTTATCGTTTTTCTGCTTTGAGTAAGAATCATTTTTTTTTTTTTTTTTTTTGAGAAAATTAGATACAATTCATTTAAATGTAAAATGTAAAAATCAAATAAATTTTGTCGATTTACTTCAGTTTTATAAGGAGCTGTATTGTATATCCAAATTTCTTTAAATAGATATATTAAGGATTTGGGCATGAATTTTCGAATGCCTAAAACGATAACCAAATGGATATGAATCCTAACCTCGTTTACCTTGTGTAATCAATATAATAATACAGTTATAAACATTCTAGTTACACATCTTTTTATTTCAGCATTGGGATTGATTCTCCTCAAATCAGATCTCAATGAAGGTCCACCAGGACCAACTGGAGGAGCCGGCGCGACCGGAGCTACTGGAGCGACAGGCCCGACCGGAGCTACTGGAGCGATAGGCGCGACCGGAGCTACTGGAGCGACAGGGTCAACCGGACCAACGGGACCAACGGGACCAACAGGCGCAACAGGACCAACAGGTGTAACCGGACCAACAGGACCAACAGCCGCTACAGGACCAACAGGACCAACAGGCGCAACAGGACCAACGGGACCAACGGGACCAACAGGACCAACGGGCCAAACGGGCCATACAGGAGCCACCGGTCCCCCTGGATTTAGAGGTGGTAGTGGAGGTGGAGGTGGCTAGGATGTACTATAGAATCACTATGTGTTGCAACATTAGCAAATAAAACATCCAGCACTGATTGGTGTTTGGTTACATATAAATTGTTGAAAAAAAATCAGCGTGGTAAATATGAAACACGGAATTAATCTGCAGTGGTAAGACTAGGACATGGGTCGGAAATCAACAATAAACATGGATAAAAAATGAAACATAACAGTAAACATGGACAACAAAATGTAACAGTACACATAGAATAAAAATGTAACAGTAAATATGGACAAAATATCTCATATAACAGTCAACCTGGATAGTAAACACACATAAAAATGTAACAGTAACACAGACCAAAGATGTAACCAACCATTAACATGGACCAAATATGCAACAATAAACATGGACCAAAAATTTAACATAACATAATGTTATTGTAAACATAGACTAAAATACAACAATAAGCATAGACTAAAAGGCATCAATTAACATTGACAAAATATGTATCATAACAAGAAAAATAAATCAAATTGTAACAGTAAATATGGACAAAAAGGTTACAAAAGATTAACAAAAAAAAATGACAGTTAAAAGGACCAAGTATATTAGACAGAGGTAAAATTAATGATTTTGACAACTTTCGTTCAGTTTTACATCGATATCATATATATTGTCTGAGTATTATTACATTAACCATATTACTGTCTAAGCGCCACACTACGATTCCTAAGTACTCTGTAACCTGGAAGAAAATTACCAAGATACACACCAATAACTAATTCCTATATCAACTGACAAGAAAATGTAAAATACATCTTTATGGTCAAACGACATAGAAAGTTATTTGATCCTGCAGCGAAACAAACTTTGTTAATAAAACCGTTTCAGCATTACTTAAATCAGAACTGATATTCTCATAAGATTTTTATCCGTGAATACGTTACGTAACATGCATATATATTGCTTTTATGTAACGCTGATAGTATATGTAATAATCCATTATGAAATAACATTTTCAATAATTATATATTTCACTCTTTTTCACCGGCAAAAATTATATGAATACATATTCTTCTCATTGGTGTCTCAATTATCATTCTAGGAAGAGCTCCTTGGTAATATTTTAAGTTTAACCGCGACGTGTAACATTAGAAGAATATGGGCCTAAAATAGGCTCTGATATAATACTAACAACACCACAGAAAACATACGCTGGATAACTTTTAGAAGTAAAAGATGTTTGTTTGAAAGGAAGGATAATCTAAAGTTCATATCTAAGTATCGGTGCTCACCACCAATTGATAACACCCTATGATACGTTTTAGTTTTAAAAAAATACATACTGAAGTGATTGTTTAGTGTCTAAGAATATTTTATATCGGTAGCGAGGTTGAGATGCGTGTAACGTATACACATATTGGTTCGGTTGAGAAACCCTACTATGCAAGCACATACCTGTGCGTAGTACGATCTACTTGTGTGTAATACGACTTGTAGCGAGAATTAAACTTCCGGTTCAATTTTGAACACACGTGTTGTGTTATGCAGTAATGTAACGCTCTAATTAATTACGTTTGAGAGCGTAACACGGTGTCAGATCAGGGATTTGATGAAAGTACATTACAGTAAGACGAACTGGTCTTGTAAAATTTCATCATGGCTGAAAAAGCAACTCCGGCAACCCATGCACCTCATGCTATGCCATTGGATCTTAAAAGAAATTTGGCTACAAAATGGAGAAAATTAAAAAGAATATGGTCAAATTATGAAATTGCCTCGGATTTAAGTAAGAAGGAGGCTAAGATAATAACAGCACCGTTCCTTTCATGTGTAGGGCCAAATGTTATAAAACTGTACGAAGGGTTTGAATATTGATATTGCTGAATTTTTTTTAAAGCCTTTGACACGTTCTGTATAGGCCAGACGAACGAAACGTACGAGCGGTACTGTTTTAACAAACGCGATCAGGGACCAAATGAGACTGTTGATTATTATGTGTCTACGCTGACAAATTTAGCTAAAACATGTAACTATGGAAATCTAGAGGATAGTCTAATGAGAGATGTAAATGTTGTTTGACAGTTGCCCATTAGTAATGACCGGTATGCATTACTGAGAAAGGCTACTGAACACGACAACGGTCAAAGGGAGATCATCTTATGTGATGGCCTAAAAACGCGAACTGAAGTACCCGAGTACTTGTATCAATTTTATACCTTTCGTAATGAATTGACAGTTCAGAATGGACTAGTGTTCAAGGGTGATCGTGCCGTGGTACCTGTAAGCGAAATGAAGAATCTAATTGAGATTTCTCATTCTCACACTGGGATTCAAAGTAGCATCAGGTGTATCCGTGAGTGCCTCTATTGGCCGGGCATGTATAAGGATATTGAACAGTTTGTCAGCGAATGTGAAACTTGTAGTAGTTACTCGAACAGTCAACAAAAGGAACCAATCATCAACCACGAAATATGTAAAAGGCCATGGCTAAAGATTTGAGCGGACATTTTTAAGCTCAATCAGAAAGATTTTCTTGTAACAGTAGACTACTATTCAAGTTATTTTGAGGTAGATCGACTACATGATAACACCGCGAAGGAGATTATCAGCAAACTCCGAGCTCATTTCGCGTGCCACGGACTTCCAGATTCGGTAATGACTGATAACGGTCCTCCATTTGGATCTTACGACTTCAGTGAATTTGCACAGAACTATGGGTTTGAACACATTACAAGTTCTCCCCACTACCCTCAGTCAAACGACAAGGTAGAATACGCAGTCACAACTGCAAAGCCAATCATGGAAAAGTCTATTGAGGATGAGCGAGATCCCTATTTGGCACTTCTGAATTTGAGAAACACACCAATTGAAGGCCCAGATTGTTCTCCAGCTGCGCTTGTAATCAATATGAGAACGAAGACTCAATTATCAATGTCAGCATCGTTGTTGGAACCTATGGTACCTAATAATATCAATGAAAAACAAACTCATCACAAAGCAAAACAGTCATTCTACTATGACCGTAACACCAAAAAACTCGCTTCTCTGAAAGCAGGCGATTCTGTTTTTATTTGACCTCAAGGACGTTCTAAGGTATGGACAAAAACCCAAGTTTTAGATCAAGTTGCTATTCGCTCATACAGAGTCCGAACAGAGGATGGTCGCGAGTATAGGAGAAACCGAAGGCATTTGCGTGAAACTAATGAACCACTAAGGCACGAACATCACTTAATAGAGCCTCTTGCACAGACTCACCAACCTACATCATCAGAACGATCTACACCTACATCGCGGATCCCGATTCCGACTAGGCTAGCCTCCAAAGAGACTGGATCTGTGAATCGCGTGTTTTTAAATTCAGTGTGCCATTTTCAGTGTACAGTATAGCAGATGTTTATCATTTTATTGTTCTATAATTTTGAGGACAAGTAGTCTCTTTTATTATGATGTTTATCTTGTTAATCTAGTCAGTGACATTCTACCGTGAATGGACAGTTCAATTTGGAACGTAACAGATAGTAACAAATCTATGACTTGATCAGTAATGTCTTGGCACACACCGCGTTGATGAGTACCCGTGTTTGTGTTATGACATTGAATATCTTAATAATGACAATTATAATTTCAATATATTTTAATACACTTTGTACCAGCTTAAATTACAAACAAACAAAAAAACATTTGGATTCATGGTTTGTGCTCTAAAGTAAATCTTAAGTGATATATGACATCGTGGAAATGGACTTTCAGGATCCTTACTGTATTTTCTTTATATGTACAATTTTTTATTAGGATCTTAATTTCAATCTTGAGACGAGGGTTGTAACGTATACACATATTGGTTCGGTTGAGAAACCCTACTATGCAAGCACATACCTGTGCGTAGTACAATCTACTAGTGTGTAATACGACTTGTAGTGAGAACTTCCGGTTCAATTTTGAACAGACGTGTTGTGTGATGCAGCAATGTAACACTAATTAATTATGCTAGAGGGCGTAACAATGCGGAAACTATTGTTTAAGTAGTGCTAAGTGTTCATAGAAAACTTATAATTATATATCCGATTCTATAATTTGTCTCTGCCAATTTATGTATGGCAGGTCATCAGTTATTCTCACAGGATTCATGCCTAATTAATATAACATAATGGTTAAAGGAGGAGTGCCAATTTGGGCCTTCTGGCGGCCATGACCGATATTTTTTATTTCTTGTGTAGGAATTCCTTGGGGTTAGGCGGTCATGATATGACATAAAATTAAGGTCAGATCTGAGCCATTCATTAGTTATGGGGGGGTAAAGTGGGGGGTAAAATTCATAAACAGCTCCATTATGACAAACCTACATTATATTTTTGGATTTTTTCTTCTTAATTTTCATGTAATAATCCATATCAAAACATTCATTAGTAAAATTGATTGAAAAAAATATTCCTTTGATATAAACTCGTTCATCAATGACTAAGTTTTTTTAATTATTCGTACTATCGACAATGTGTTGAACAGTTTATATTTTTATGTGAATTATATTATATAAGGTGGAAAGACAAACTAAATACACGTAATGAACGCAAGAGATATGCTGCTATCCATAGTGATACGGGATCAAACCCTATATCGCAATAAAGCACCAAACCATGTTAAAGGAGTAGTTGCATGGCGGCCATATTCATATTCATCAATAACTTTCTTTCTATTCAATCGATTGCAACGTAACATGCAGGAGGGGATAATTGAATGAGAGTGCTCATTTTGAAACACACAAAGAAAATAAAAATGGAAACAAAATGGCATCAAAAATGCTGACTTCTGATTCGTCTAAATTTAAATATTACTTAATTTTCACATAACTTCGTATATTCTTCCATTATTGGAGAGATAGGAGATAATTTCTTCAATTATTAAGGTTGATGAGGCAAATGTATATTTTTACCAGATTATGAACAATTTTCTATCATTGCCAATTTTTAAGAGATGAAGTGCATTTGCGGTGAATACGTACGAAACACCTTCACTACTCGGCCAACGCAGCCCCAGTTAAGTCCATGTACAGTTCGCTACCGTTATTAAAGAAAAAAGGGGGCATATGCCAAGTTATGGATATCGTTGCATATACAGGCTCGAAATTTATTATGCATTATCTGTTCTGTTTGAAATTCTGAAGATTGTGGTCATTTCATCCCTCTGACCTGCTGGGCTTGTTCGTCATTTGGCATGCAATTTTGTATCCATATATTGTATTTTGTTTGGGTTTATGTCACGAACGGATCTGGCACCGAATAAGGTCAGTGAATTGTCGATGGACCATGGTTTCATGGGCTCCTGCTTCACTCAGGTGTTCATAAAAATAGCTTAGTGCTTGCTTAATTAGGTTGGTACCACATGTAATTGTCCATCTATTCATAATCTAACACAGGGAATTCAACTCAGCTTTGAAAAATCTTAACTGTTTGATCCTAGAATTGTGCGATTCAACAGCCGTGTTGATATTCTCCGGGCTTTAAAATTGAAGGCATGAAAAGCTTATATCCAGAATCTGCCACTGTACTCACAACATCTCAGAAACCACGATCATCTATTATGTGATTATCATCAATCAAAAGGACCTTCAAGTTATCAACAGACTTTAATATCTTGTCTGTTATTTTTGCATTCTTTTTCATCTTAGAAGGGACCGACAGTGTTTAATATATATCCATTAGGAAATTATATACTTATGAATATGACATCATTCCTTTTTTCTGACCTCAATAGGTTTTTTACCAATAGAGATGCAAATATCATCAAGGACGAGGGTCACGTTGTTACCAAAAATGTCTGTGTAAAAACAATATTGTAGCTTAGAGCTTGTTCGCATGACAAATGATGGTGTCAAGTTGGTTCCTGAAACTTACACATGATTTGGAATATTCTGCTTACAGTTGATTTGTGAATTTTAAAAAAAAGCATCATCGAAACAGTATCAATGCAATCTGAGTTGATATTCCTTGTATATGGATATACCTGGACAATCGACTATAGTAGCATGAATCTTTTCGAACTGATCGCAATATATACACTTTCGATGTGACGCAGAGGCATAGAAAAGGTCATCTACCTTAAGACATTAACTATCTGACGGAGTTGTGTCATCGTTTTCGCCTTCATCATTACAGTTTGCATCGCCGACATCGTCGTCATTTTCATTGGCTGAACGATAAAAGGGTGGAAGCCATTTCCGACTTTGAACTACTTTCACTGGGAAGTGCATTCAATCCCAATACACCTGTTTTCCATTTTAGAGGTGTACAGAAATTGCTTTTATAAATATAAGAGATATAATTTTCTTTTGAAAAGTTAACAAACTGTAACAGCAATAACAATAACGACTGTTTAACAAAGGTACAAAATGATATGTTCATTTCTTCTTAAAGACATATAGCATTAAATCAACCTTTCAATTGTATCAAGATTGATAGTTGTGTCAGGATAATGATATTACTTTGCGATAGTGATACTAGCTGAGAGCCTGGTCATAAAACTATGATGTTCAGGTCTTCGTCTTCGTGACACAGGGTAACCTCATGAAATATCAGATTTGGTGATAATCAAAGGTTCTCTTCAAGGCGCACTCATCAACCCAATCATGTGAATGCAAATGACAAAAGAACAAACTGATATGTCTGTATTTTGTGTTTTTGAATGCAGATGATAGATGAAGAATAAAGCTGCGTTGGTTCGTTAAAATCTAAAATTTTAATAAATGTTTTTTGTAATAAGTTTTCCTGTTCAAGTTTAATTTACATATAATGTCTACAAAGAAAGTCAATTAATATATAGATATTCAAAGTTGACAATGTATGCTACTGGTGCGTGGGACAATAGAATTTGTTTGGTTTAGTATAGGACTGCTTTAAAGTTTTTGATATCAGTATGATACTCTATCATAAGGTTTATTCAAAAGATTATTAGGAAATAGCAGGAAACTTCTATCGGTCATTTTGTTGTTTGATTGGTCACAAATTGTAACATGCCTGCTAGGTCTAATGTATAAAATTATGTCAGAACTGGAGAGCGATTAATCCTACACTTGATAGGTTATTTTTATTGTACAATTTGATCATGTACTCTGAGTGCTTCGATATTACGGGGTAAACTAAAAGAAGTTCCAAAATCTTGTCATATCCAGTAATTCACAAACACAATATTTATTTGATGAAACAATAGTTATCGAAAAATAGTTAAGGATGAAAATTTGAGAGTACTCAAATGATAACTAAACTGTTTTGCTATTAATGTGCAAATTTGCTGAAAAAGAAAATTGGGTTTTGAGGCATGTTTGCAAGTAAAATGCAGTTTGTGTTAAAAGCATATGACATACAGCTGATTGTCATTGCTAAGGCCATTATATATGCCATTCAGCTGTGTAACTGGATTGTAATTTGGATATTTTTCTTGACTTCTGTCAAGTAAAAGGCCCACAGGGTTCTGTGTTTTCCAAGTATCGTAATTGGCACTACAGTCAGAATTATGGTCCAATAGGTGTTTAACTGTTGGTGTAGGCTCTGCAATCGACTAATTTAGATGAAAAAATATATAAAATATTGTGGGCCATTGTTCATCCTCTATGCAGCAATCCTTTCCACATGCCTTACCTCTTTTTAAATTCAATCAAGACTAAAGTTATATTTGGACTAGAGTGAGCAGAGCGATAGCTTGTTTCAATTCTGGACTTGTTAACACTAGATAGAAGAGATTTTAATATACTTTGTCAAGTGAAATGCCTTGTATCTGGATGCTGTTCCCTAAATAAATCACGACAACTTTCTAACATAAATGGTAGGTACGTTTTGTCCTAATTATAATCGACCTAACTCACACTGGTGACTATCTAATATAAATGTTAAGTACGTGTTGTCCTAACTATAATACAACTAATTCACACCGGTGACTATCTAATATAAATGTTAAGTACGTGTTGTCCTAACTATAATAGAACTAATCCACATTATTGCACCTCGGACTAGAATGCATTGATCTGATTGGACGTTGCTTGCCCCCTATAAATCTATAGGGGGCAGCTGAATATATAGGGGGCA